ATTTTTGATTAGTCTGACGTTCATATTTTGGTGTAGATTATTTCATTGTTGTTTTTGTAAATTGTACTTAGTAAGCTTACCTCTGCTATCCAATTTTTTTTCGCCAGTCAGAGGAAGTTGTCTTTTACTACTCAGTTTTTTTTTTGTTAGTACCCTCCACTTTGTTTGTTTTGCAGTGTATTGATGCATTTGTTTATTATTTCATTGAAAAGTTGATTTATATTTGGATAGGGCCTTGCACCTCTTGGCAGAATGAATTTTCTGTAAAATTGTTCGCTTACTTACAGCTCAAAACACGTCAGTTTTCGAACAGTGGCTATTCGTCATAACGCAGGTAACAAGAATTTAATATTGTTTGTACGTTGTTAATCAGGTATTGTAGGGTTCAGCTAGTATCTCTGATGTACATAGTGAAAAATTTGTATGGGTTTCTAATAACTTAATAGTGTTGCTTTCATAATGTTTTTTAAATCCTACTTTTAATGTGTTGAAATTCTTTTCAGGTCAAAAACAACCTCTATGCTGTTTAGAAGTCTGCGGTTTTGAAACTGTTAACCGATTGTGACGTTTGGTATGAATGACAGTTACACCAGTTTTTGATTTAATATACTCAGAAGATTTTCTCGCTCGAGAGGATTTCACTAATAGGCCTCGCCAAACAATGAAGTACACTGTTCTCTGTTTTACAAGAACTCATTTATTCAGGTTGACTTTGTTTTTAGATAGTAAATTGTTATTGTTTTTGAAACATTTTGCTTAATTCTATGGGTTCAGTAGTTGACTGGAATGTATCCACTGATAAAAGTTCGTATAAAGTGCGGCCTATTTATGGGTGTTCTGTTTTGTTTTCGTTTCTTCGTTTTTTCATCTTGTTAGAAATTGTTAGAAATTGTATTAGTCTCCGTAATCACGTTAAGTTCTTTGCTTGTTGAACTTGACACATGGCCGGTTTGAAACTGTGGCGAACAGCTTTTTTCTTTCGTATAGATTATACTGGAAATTGGAACATCCGCGTGATTTCACCTTTCTCTACGGTTAGATTTTGTTTTTTTTTTTCAATCATCTCTTGTTGAATGGCTGTGAAGTGTTTGTGCAATTTGGAACGTTATGGGGAAGTTTTTTGTTAGTAGTAGTTTATTTAGATAAAAGTGCTAAATTATATAAAAAGAGCCGAGTGGTTATGAGATTCTAAATTTTTTTTTGACCACCGCGGTTTTTTCATCAATAGGTTTTTTTTGCCTTTTTTAAATCTCCGTCTCCGGTGTCAGAACGAGTATGGTCTTTGTAGTGCTTTTTCCAGTGCTGAAATTCCTCTCGCTGTTTTAACTGATGTATGTAGATCACTTAATGATTCCTAAAATACACTCTCATTCTGCGTTTGCCGTTTCGCTATGGAATTGTGTTATTAATAATTTTTCTGCAAATTGCCATTCTATTCTGTTTTCAGCATTGGTTCGTCAGAATAGATGAGGAAAATAAATATTATATTCGGTCCTTTGTGTTTCGTTACAAATTAAAAAGTCATTGTGAAAAAGGTTGGTAAGGCTCAAGTTGACTACGGACTTGCGGTGCATTAGCCATTGATGACGTTTTGTTGGAAGAACTGGCGAGAGGTAATTACATAAAAGTTTATGTTGTAAGCAGGTAGGGAGATCCGTGTGTTGCGGTATAGTGGCCAGTTTCTATTCTGGGCCAATAAGCTAACCAGCTGGATGTTACTGGCGAAGTTGATAC